TAGTTTAGTTTATAGTCATGTCAGCGTTAGCGGTGATATTTAAGGTAATTTCTTACATTATATTTTAAGGTTCAACATGTTTAGATTTTTTTGTGGCAGGGCATTAGTTTTACTTCGTTATGCATATTGTTTAGTTTTATGTATATCCTGAACGCTTTTCTGTGTTACTTTCTTTTCTTCTCATTTCTGTAATCTAATGTATTTGTATGATGCCTGATTCCAGTAGCTTCATTATCTTGTCTGCTATAGCCGGATTTTGTAAATGTCTGCAAGTGAGAGGAGAAATAGGGTTTAATAACATTTCATTTTTTTTTTTTTCAAATTGAAAACTTACTCCTTAACAGCATTTGGATCGTTCTGCATCTGTTCGAGTATCATGCGCATGGCCGGATCCTTGAGAATTTGTTGTATTTCCGGATCGGACATGGCATTCTTAAGCACCTCTTGTGGATTACGTTGGAAATTCATTGAGCATTGACGATAGCCATCGATTGCCTCAGCATTATTTGGATCCAATTCTAGGGCCTTTTGATACGCGGCTGAAGCCTTAGAGGTCTGTTGCATGCCCTGTTACAACAAACATCGAGTAATATAATCATGAATGGTGCCCAAGCTATGTATTTGAGGTACACTTACTTGCAGAATCTTGCCCTTTCGTATATAACCCTTGATGAATTTCTCATCGAGCTTAATGCAAGTATCACAATCCTTCAAGCCCAAATCAAATGCAGCCAATTTTGTATAGCATGCTGCACGATTGCTATACAACTTGGGATCATCCGGATTACGTTTGATGGCTTCCGAATAATGCTTAACAGCAGTGCTGTAGTCACCCTTCTTGAAGTACTCGTTGCCTTTTTCCTTCTCTTCTTCTGCCTTAACTGGATCAATGTATGCACGTCGCTCTTCTTCCTTAATTTTGGCTTCAACTTCGCTGAGCGATGTCTTTATCTCCGGGGTACGATGCTCAGACATGGCCTTTTCATAATAGAATTTGGCTTGCTTATAGTTTTCCATTTTGCGATAGGTGTTGCCGATACGAGCCAAGGATTTAGCAATTAGCTTAAAGTCAGCACGATTTTCACGTCCCACCTCGATACCCTTCTCGCACTGCTTGATGCACTCTTCATACTGCTTTCGTTCAAAGTAAACAGCCGCAATATTGTTATGGAACGTGATGTCAGTCGGATCGTGCTCAATGGCTGCATGATAGTGTTTGAGGGCAGTTTCAAAATCTTTCTTCTTATAAGCAGCATTGCCTAGCTCCTTTTCCTTCTTGGCAAAGTACTTTTTACGCTCTTCCTCGGTCATGTCCTCCACACGCGGCTCAGCCGGCTTGGGTGGCTCTGCCGGCTTGGACGGTTGCGATTTCCTCTCAAAAGGCGAGCTGCCCGATTGAGGATCAACGTCCATGGGAATATCACCGCGAGACTGCATCATATTCAGCACAGCTGCCGTGATCTCCTGGCAACCTTGCAAAAGAATCGCATTTTGCGGATCATACTTCAGACCTTGTTGAGGAACACACAAAGAAACAAGTGAGGTTATGTTGGGGAGAGGTCAAAGTAAATCACCATATGTAACACAACTTACCCTCGTTGTAGGCTTCTAGAGCCTTCATATAGTCGCGCAGACCAGCGGCCGCAACACCCTTGCGTGAATAGCCCTTGGGCCAAGTCGGATTCAAAGAGATCGTCTTCTCAGCATCCTCGAGAGCTTCTTTAAATTTTCCGGCCTTGGCGAAGGCCGCAGAACGATTACTGTAGAGCACATGATTGTTGGCGTCCAGCGCGATTGCTTCTGTATAGGCTGCAATAGCGTCATCAAATTTCTCAGCATTTAGCGCTGTGTTGCCCTTTTCCTTCAGTTCGTTCACCTGCAGTTGACCACCGAGGAAACGTTCATATATGAGAATCGTTTTGCTTGTTTGTTAACTATTTTAATACGCACCTTATCCATTTTTTCTTCAATTATCTTCTTTTTATTTTTAATTAAGAGCTTTTTAACTGTGTTAAGTATTTAATGTCGTTAAAAACACGCCGTTTACCGCACAAAGTTGTGAGCTTATGAAAATGCAAAAATGCCGCTGTCGGACTTTTCTAGAAATGCATGAGTCGTGAATATTCGCTCAGTTCTCGTGCTCTCGCACTCTCGCACTTGCTCTCTCACACACAAATGTCAGACGCGCAACGTTGCCAACACTCTCTGTAACAGGTCGCGCGCTGCCGGATATTATTTTGGTAAGAAAATACAATATATATTAATTAAGGGAATACAGTCGGAATTGTTCAATGCTTATAGTTATTTAAGAAATCAAAACTAAATATATATGTGAATTATTTAAAATTGAATTTCCTGTCAATAATTTGTTATTAAATTTCCCTTGAAAACTCAGTTGGCAGCGCCGAACGACTTGCTTGAATTAATTTTGAAGCTGGCAACGCTGTAGCAGAATACGACAGACGCTGCTTTTTGCGTGCGCCTGGAAAAATTTATATTACAAATTTGTCAAAATATATACAAAATACGGCATTAAACAAATTTCGCTGCAAACGGCACGCAAGGAAGGCTAATCGTTTTAAACAGCAGCTCAATACCGTATCAACGTGATGGCCGAATATTTGGCATCTATTTTTGGCACAGAAAAGGACAAGTAAGTAATAAAAAAAAAAAAAAAAAAAAAAAACAGTGGTCCGCATGTTTTGCAGTTGTACCTTCTGTACATTTTCCGGCACATTAATAACAAACGATTTACATATTGCAGAGTCAACTGCTCGTTTTACTTTAAAATCGGAGCGTGCCGGCATGGCGACCGCTGCTCACGCATACACAATAAGCCGACATTTTCGCAAACGGTGTTGCTGCAAAATCTCTACGTAAATCCTCAAAATTCAGCGAAATCGGCGGACGGTTCACATTTGGTAGCGAATGTGTCCGATGAGGAAATGCAGGAGCATTATGACAATTTCTTTGAGGATGTTTTCGTTGAGTGCGAGGACAAATATGGAGAAATTGAGGAGATGAACGTTTGCGATAATTTGGGTGACCATTTAGTTGGCAATGTGTACATCAAATTCCGCAATGAGGCCGACGCCGAAAAGGCGGCAAATGATTTGAACAATCGCTGGTTTGGCGGACGACCTGTTTATTCGGAATTGTCGCCGGTTACCGATTTCCGTGAGGCCTGCTGCAGACAATACGAAATGGGTGAATGCACACGTTCCGGCTTTTGCAATTTTATGCACCTGAAGCCCATATCTAGAGAGTTGCGGAGGTACCTTTATTCGCGCCGGCGACGCAATCGTTCGCGTTCTCGATCCCGTTCCGGTGGACCGCGACGACGATCACGAAGCCGGTCGCCGCGCCGTCGACGCGAAGATCGTGGCATCGGCGGCGGCACTGATCGTGGCGGCGAGCGCGGCATTGTTGGTGGCACGGATCGTGGTGGCGAGCGTGGCATCGGAGGTGGCACGGATCGAGGCGATCGTAATAACGATCGTGATGGGAACGATCGCGATAGACGTAAAGGAGGAGGTCGATATTAATGGTCCAAACTCTGTTTGGACTTCGGACGGTTCTATCAACTACATTATTGGTGGCAAAGTGAGAGAGGACGGACACAGAACGCCAACTAACGTGTATTTCAAAGCTCTGCAAAGTCTCCTTTTTTGTTTTTTTTTATGATTTAGTAAGGGGTGTCCACCACATATGTACAAACCAACCGTGACACAATGTGAATTATTTTATCGAGCGCCCATTAGAATTGTAATTACTTATACACACATTCGTAATAATAAAATTGAGTACTAATTATAAAGATTATATAGACAAAGAATAACAAACAGATATTGTGTGTATAAAAATGCTGTATTTGCCGCGCTTCACATATTCATTGCTGTAACACAAGTGACGCCAGCTTTGAGCCTGGATTCGATGCCTCCGGCATTTCCGTTGTTTATGTATCTAATACGTCCGGATTTTTCTTCGTCTCCGTTTCTCGCGCTGCTTTTAACTGTTTGGTCATGTCGATTTGTTGCTGCAGTGCATAACGGTTTTCGTGCTTGCGTCGTTGTTGCTGCTCTACGTCACGTAAAACACCCTCATGTAGTTTGTTACTGTAAACCAATTATTACGATTAATTCTTAATTTCATTGAAGAATTCTTTATACTTGCCGGTCGTCCGATTGTTTATAGTGAACATAACCTATAATGGCGGTGGAAACGCAAACAGCTAAACCTAATGTCACTTTAGATGCTAACGACATTTTTGTTGATTGATTATCTAATTGTTGGCTATTTAATTTTGATACAAATTTTATTCAATACGTCTAAGTAGTTGTTACGACATGACTTTCTGATGTATTGTAACTTCTCGAGAAATAGAGAAATGAAGAAAACCCGACAGATTTATATATTGTGAGGTTCTTGAAACACTCTACTTATATGAGTACTTTGCGGCTTATTTATATAAATACTATGGTTTTGTTTCCATTAAGAAATATGAGTTAATTCAGTAAATGATACAAATTCTGCTCAAAATTGTCGATAGACATAACAAACGACCAGGGCTGCAGCATAAAACAGCTGCTTTGATAACAGTCTGCGATAACGATATTGCGAAGGGCGCGCATTTGCTTATCGATTTAAATATGTTTGTTTGCACAAGCCGTTATCTGCGGGACAAAATGTGATTTTTGACGCAGTATTGCGTATGGTTTTGATTGTTTAGTCTATACATGGATACCACATAACTGTTATGTTTGGTCAAACAAATGCTGGGCGACTGCCACGGGTAACACAACTGAAATATATACAATTTTTGGACATGCGCATCAGTTGCACGCAATGCGAAGCAACAGCACAAGTACACATGTGTGTGGGTTGTGTGTGAGCGTGTGTGTGGACGCAAGTAAAAGCAACATCGAGCCAATGCGGCGAATGAGCAACATTTTCATACAATCTGCCAGTACGACTCCAGTTTTCCATACGCGCAGTTCTTTGCGCGTAACAAATAAACTAGAAAACCAGCCAAAATAAAAAATTAAAAAAAAAAAAAAAAAAGAATAAAAAGTGAACTATATAGAAAATCCAAATTTACGTGCGTGTTGTCTGTCGTGTGCGCAAAAAAAGATTTGTTTCGAAATTCAAACGATTGAAACAATCAACAACTAGCCCTAGAATCCATTAACTTATTAACATATGTAAAAATTATAAACATCGCCCAGCAAATTCTCATCAATTTATGTGGCTTGCTAAGCATTTGTTTATGCATTTTGAAATTCCACTTTTCAGGTCTTTTTTTTTCCATTAGACCAATTAAACTTTTTTTTATATGTTATTCTTATTGTTCGTTTTTAAATATTTATGTCAAATATTGATTTCAAATTTTTATGCAGCCAAGCTTTAAGAAGCCTAACGCTTAGACATTTAGCTTTTACGACACCTTTGACCACCTTTGCTTTATTTGCTCAGTTTTTTTGTGGTTCGCAAACAGTTGTACCCATGGGAAATGCTTACACAGGGTATGCTTCAAATAAAATGCATGCGATAGACATAGGAAAGTTTAATAGGAATCATGAAGCTCATATATTCTAGAGCAAGATATGTTTGTACTTGAGGCTGTTTGCTAAAGTATGTAAAAATGTTTCTGGGAAGATTTAACCTTGGAACTGTTATTCAAATCATATGAAATTTCATTCAGTTGACCACGTTTCAATCATTTTTTCTTCCTTGAGGACTAAGAATCACACAAATCTCTATGCAGATTCAGCTCATAAATATATGCTTAATTATACATCCTATGGGCACAGGGTAGCTCGTAGTCTGACAGTCCCGACTAAAGTTTGCTTACAATTTTTATCTTCAGTTTTCATTCAAGCCACAAAAATTGAAGTGTTTGCTGGATATTTGGCCAAAAATAACCAAACCTTTGTTGAAGTAAAGTTAAGTAAAATTCTGTATATACTATATATATTCAGAGCTATACAAGATGACCAAAGTGGAGCTTTATAAATCGCGTGTCTTTGTGACAATCATTCACCTGTGTGCGCTGGGCCAATTCGCTTATGGACTGTATTACAGTAGCTTTGAGGTGCAACGCAGCTACAAATTAAAGACGAGCTTCAGTCGTCGCCTGGTGCCCGAAACTTTTCCACAAAAATTACGATTTCTCAGCTATTGGTCGCTGGTAAGTTAAAGAACACAAGATTATGATCAAAAATGTATATATAAATCGTGGTCATTATGAAATGACGGAAATACGACGACCGCAGCCACAATTCGTTTCAAGTGTGTTCCAGCTCATTTATACAGAAACAAGTAGAGCTGCAGGAACAGAGAATATACGACGAGAATATGACCTATATCTAGTTACTATGATTAAATTCGTACTTTAGCCACTATTCCATCTATATATCTTTATGTCAATGGTGTCCTATTAAAATCGAATCGCTTGTGACATCTTTTCAAAGTCGATATTTATCGATATTAGCAAATATAATGCAAAATATGCATATAATATGCAATTATATTATCTTAATTCCCATAGTTCTCAAATTTAAAGTCGGTTGTCTCCTTTAAAAACAAAGAAACAACGACAATTTATGATAGCCAATATTCCGATTGCCCTTGTTCCGCTTTCACAAATGTTTATAGGGTATAATCAGATTTTTATTATTGTCTCCCATTTATGTCTGCCATATGTTTGTTTATTTGCCTGCTGTGTCGATTTTCGTTTTACTTTTTTTCCTGTGTTTCTTTTAATCACCTCTCGCGCTGAGGGGTCAACAACTGGCTGCAATTTGTAAGCGGGCAGTTGGCGTATTTTGCAGATACATTTTCCATGCCCATGTCTTACAGATACATTTTAAATGCCATTCATTCCATTATCCGGCCATTCAGTTGTTGTCGCTGCAAAGTGTTACCCTCACACACGCACACACTCGCAAAGAATTCGCAATATTTATTTTCATTGCGCGAAATTTCCGTAAAAGCACAAAGAGAAAAAGATTTTTTTTTTTAATTTTCATTTTTATTGAATTGTAAAGTTGGCCACAAATCAAATTGGTCCAAAAACAAAAGGCCTCCAGCATCTTCGTGGCCGATTTTATTGGCGTTGATAGATGCCAGATTATCTGGCAGCCCCACTGCGCTGTGGGAGGCGTTCTGGGGCGTGTTGCCCGGGAGTAACTCATTTACATGTCGTGAAATAGTTTGGGCATACGATTCGATCATCGATTTGAGTTTTCGCAGATGATATGGCAAACGAAAGCAAATAAATCGGCAATGTTTGATAATATCTATTAGACATTTTTCATTATGGTGTTTGTTTACGTCTGTGATTGATGGCTTGCTTCTGATTGACTATAACATTTACTATCGAGTAGAGTATTTGAATTGTATGAGCAAGTCAATCTAAATATACAGCAGCGTTTTTTGCGATCCTTGATTGACTAGCTACTTCACTGATGGATTGATCCGTGATTGATAGTTACTTAACTGATTGACTGAAATTGCTACTGATTCAGTCCATTGGCCAATCGATACTGAAATCGTGAATCGTTACTTAATCATTAGCCGATAACGAACATGAACCTGCCCATCTCTTTGTTCAAAATTTTCTTTCTCAACTTCTCCATAAGACTTAGTTCTTCCTCGCAAACATCTTTTACACTACTTAAGTTCAAGGATTTTCCAAACAAAGAAACTTTTCTTAAGTTTTTTAAGGCTTATCTTTAATTTTGTTCGACCTTGGCCGCCCTTGATTTATAATCTCAATAAATTCTTTGATCTTCAACACAAAAAACAAACGAGAAAGAGTGCTTTCCATCTACTCGCAGATATCTCTGCACGTGGATTCGGATGCGGATTTGGACTCGGATTTTGTTTGTTTGCTATTTGTTTCGTTGTGTTTTTTGTTTTTTTTTTTTTTTTAGCAAATGGCTTTCATGTGGAACCCGTGGCACATCGCATTGCCGGGCCATGCACACGCACGATTACCATCCGGCTTTAATTTTTGCTATTCTTCTATTGTTTTGGCATACCTTCCTCTCCTTTACTTCAATTGTTTATATCAAAATGAAAATAAACGCTATTCTTCTAATACGGAATGAATGTGTAGCAAAGCAGCTATACTATAATTCAGTGTATATGTGTGTATAGATATTGCAATGGGCACACGTTCGTCTCATTCGCTAGCTTTGAACAATTTATTACTTGAACAAATTTATTAAAATTCATCTATGGATTTAAAAATAGAAATGAAATTTAGTCGACGATTTTTTGAACTACCATAATTAGGATATTAAATGTATTTAAATTCCATATGAAATTTATTATTACAGCATATAGAATAATTTCTATTATATAACTGTCTTTGCATTTATCTATATAAGCTTTAAGAAACTCTTGATTTTACTTGTTTTATTTGAAAACATTTTTATTATCCATTAAAATGCTTATAAAATGTTAATTAGTCTTCAGGTAGTTATCGAAATCCGAATACCCAATTTCCAATTTTATTTATCTATATTTTTATCGATTTATACATATTCTCAGTTGGAAATCAAATATTCAAAATGTTTAAAATTTCTTTAATGTCCAAAATTTTGTAGTTCATTTTCGTCTGGAATTGAAAAATGTGAAATTGAAATTTTGTTTAGGTTTTCATAGCTGTGTGTCTAAATTAATGTGTAGCAAGACTGATAAATTGACTGACTGACTGCTTGAATGACAAACTGCTTAATTGATAACACTGGCTAACGGAGGGCAGGATAAATACCTACATTACAAAAATATATAAAATTCAAGATTTCGTAATTAAATATTAGAATTTAGGATATGAAAAGTTTCTGGAATATCTATATTATGTATTAGAGCTATAAAATTCTTATCAAATTTTGTTGGCTAGTGTAAATGTCTGTTGCGGATTGTGTTGAAGCTGAAGTAACGCCCCCAAAACTAATGACAGCTCTGTCATAGCATCAGTCCATATTGTCGGTCTTCAGTCTACAATTTGCCCAGCAGTCAAAATGATGGAATGGATCTCTGTAGTGCTGTTCGCTTTGCTCGCTCTGGAGGCGGAGACGACCAACATCAAGTGGCATAGTGCTGGAGCAGCATTCGATAATGCCGATGCCTGGCTGGATGGTTACTTGCCCTGTGCCCAGGATAAGGTTGTCTTTCCCAGCTATTATCCGGCTGTGCTGCCATTGCCCAAGGAGTTGGCAGTGGGAGGATTCCTACTGCCCCGTCTGGGTGGCTTGCTGCTGGCAGAGGATGCCACCATACAACTCGGCGTGGGCTCGGGATTGAATAGAGATTGTGAGAGTGATGAGAAACGCGCCTACTTAAAACCAGCCAAGACGAGCAAATGGTTTGATCCCAGTAGCTGGAGTGGCCAGCCCAACAGCGCCTCCTCCTCCAGCTCAGCCATCGATAGCTACTTCGACCTGGATCGCGTGCCCTGCGATGATGAGCATGTGGTGATCAGTGGCAATAGCGGTCCGCTCTCCTTTGACCTGGAGAATGTGGAGTATCTTCGCTTGGGTCAGCTCATCCTAGCGGGCTCCTCCATATCGCGCAACTATCTGCAGGAGCTGCTAAGCAGAGATCTGGGCCAATTGCTCTTCCATAATGCCCAGAATGTGTTTGTGGAGTACTACAGAGGTGAGCTCTGTGGCTGCCACATAGACTATGAAAACTTGCTGGAGCTGGTCTGCTCCCATGTGGAGCCGCTGTGTGAGGTGCCGCATTGCGTCTCCCCGTTGCGCACGAATGACGGCTGCTGCTTGGTCTGTGGCGCCATGATGCATGTGAAAAGCGAGCACTGCGTAGAGGAGGATCGCAAGACCTTGACTGGCCTCATCAATAGTTTTATGGTCAAGGAGCAGCTGCAGGACGAGCTGCAGTTGCATGTGAACTATGTGGGCTCCAGAGCATTTGGCAATGCCTTGCAGGCGATTGTTGTGGATCGAAATGGCTATAGCGAACGGAGTGTGGAGTTTATGAGACGTTTCGCTGCGCAACGGAATCAAAGCAAATTTCTGGCTCAGCAGAAAAATCTGAAAATCTTCTATGCCGGCCATCCATATAATCCCAATGTGAGCTTTGCCTCGGTGCTGCTCATATTGTTCTGTATTGTGCTTGTGGGCGTTGTCTCGTTGATTGGGCTCGCTCACTTCATGCCACAGAATCCGTATCTCAATCGCATACCGCAATGGATACACAATCCGAGGCGCTGGCGTTGGCATCACATGGATTTGCGTTTGCCGCAGCATTTGCTCTTCAATCGATTTGATAATGTGACAGCTGGAATGGGAACGGGTGGAGCAGGTGGTAGTGCAGTGGAACGCCTGGCTGTCATTGGCTATGATGCGGAGAATGAAGAGGTGCGTGAACGTGCCTTTGATAATCCCATGTTCGAGCAAGCCGAGCAGGTGGCAGTCATTGAAGAGCAGGCGGAGACAACTGCAATGGCAGCCAAGGTTGAAACTGGAGAACTGGACAGCTGCAGCGTGGAGGAGCAGGAGCTCACTGAAATCAATTTGGAGTCCTCTGACGGCGAGAGTGAGAACGAGGCGGAAACCAAGGAATAAATATATATATAATATGTCTACTCCTAATAAATGAATGAAACACCAGTAGGTTTGTAGAAATTATATTGAATAATAAATATGTTTATATATTTGAATCAATCAAATCTAGCATTCACTTTCGTGAATGAGTATTAAATTTAGTTCAATTCTTCCTTCAACAGTATTTATGAAGCTCACAAAAGGGTTTTTGGAAAACCTCGTATGGCTTTAACAAATAAATAAAAAAAAAAAAAAAAAAAAAAAAGTATTTATTGAAATTTCCGTTAAGCTTAATTATGCTCACGATGCTCACATAAATTTAAATATATTGCTTATCTAAATAATGGATAGCGATTAAATATACATGTTAGTGGTGCGTCACATCGCTTGGGTCTGTCCCTTGACCTTCACGCTTTCCAACGAGCTCGAAATTCAATCGATAGTTCGCATTAGTTGCGACAACCGCATATTCAATAGCTTTTGTTCAACTAGACATATCTATATATAGCATATCCCCACCCACTTGTAAACATGAATGACAGTTAAAGTGGTCGCCTTAATGCTAAAGAGGCGAAAGTAAATTTAATTTTCACTCAAATTCTGCTTCAATTAAAATTTGCTCTCTGAACACTATTTTGTTTTTATTGCCCCACTGATAAGCAACGTTATCAGCGGTTCGCTCATATGCACATGTTGAACTGTATGTACATATATATAAAATATATTCTTAGATTGTTGCTTGCATTTGCGGCTAATCAGTATAAAATTGACTTTTGAGTGTGAAACATGGCAAGATCCAAGCCCAAAAATAAGGGCTCCACGTCCCCAGGTTTCAATCGTGCTGTACAATTACTTCTACACACTACGGCTGTCATACAATTCAACTATGGCGTCTACTATTTCTATAATTTGGAAATGCCAAGATCAGTTTTTCATCCATACGCTGGCAAATTCAAATTCTTAACCTTTATCTGTGCGGTGAGTGAAATTGCAGCCCTGGTTTGCGTTTGTTGCTAACATAACAGCTTTGCTGTTAGAGTGCAGTCTGTTAAATTACAAAAGCGGCTTATCTCAACGGCTTTTATGTGCTTTAAGTCACCTACTAACAAATATTTAGACGTAACTGATATGAAAGTATACATATATAGCTGATTAGCTGCATCTACATCCAATAAGATTGAATTACAGTTTTATGCTAACTTATTACTATTGCCTTGCTGATAAGGAACTTTATGAGTCACCCACATAGCACGAATTAATATTTAATGTTTATTAAAAAAAATAAAAATAATTAAATAAAAAATAAACATGTATATACATATATGTATACAGATACATATATATATTGATTGTCGCTGGTTTTTCACCTACCAACAAATCAGTAGATTGTGAACTTTTGTGTGTTAAGCATGGCCAGATCCAAGTCCAAGAATGAGCGTTCCACGTTTCTAGTTTTTTATCGTCTATTGCAATTTCTTTTACATTTAACAGCTGCCATTCAATTAAATTATGCTATTTACTATTTGCATACCCTAGAATTACCAAATTCTATTCCATTCGGTGGGCAATTTAAATTCTTAACATTTCTCTGTGCGGTAAGTGCAAGTGCTAGTTCAAAAGACAGGTAATTTTGCTATAAAATTGCAGTCTGTAAAAAATCTTATTTATAGAGAAATTATTCAGTAAACATTTTAAAAATTCATGTTAAAAGCATATCTCTAATCACAATCGCTTAGTCACCATGACATAAAAGCTTTCACCTATTGCAACTTGATAACAATTTAATACTGATTTGTGGTCTCAGCATAGATAACACATAAAAGCAATAGGTAATTTGTTATTATTTATTTGATAATAAATTAATATTTTAAGTTATCACTCAAGTATTAGCATGTTTCTTAATCATCAATTTACTTTAAGTGAGTTTGTTTCAATAAGAAGCGCCAAAGACTACAAATGTGACCAGCCACACAAAATGCGGCAAAAAACGATACAAAAATCCTTGTAAAGTATCGATAATTTATCATTTCGGGTGCCACGGTCACACATCAGTACAACCGTCTTCAGTATAAATTTTTTGCTCGCCGGTTGCTGTTGATGCTGTTGTTGCGGTTGTGAAAAATCAATTAATTGCAATAAAGAAACATATAATTGATAAAAATGGCCACAAGCTCTCCTGCAACGAACTCGCTGTTCAAAAGTGTTTTTGGCGCACTGCGTACATTGCTGCATTTGACAGCTGCCGTACAATTCACCTATGGCATATATTATGATTATAAATTCGTTGAATTTCCAGCCCAAACAGATCCCAATTCAAAATTAATCTATCATCCCTTTGGTGGAAAGTTCAAATATCTTACGTTTCTGAATGCGGTAAGGTACCGAGAGTCTAAATGGCAGCTATTATAGCTCATTAGGCCAATTTGAATTTAAACATGTAATGACAACCGGTTTGAGTTATTTTTTGTTGTTGTTGTCAAGCTTCAGTGATTTAGCGGTTTGCAATTCATTCCACTTCAATTGTCAGCTAATCAACCCCCTTTTGAGCTATCAGAATAACATGCCTATCTCTTTGCACTTACAGATAATACAAGCCCTGTATTACGTTGTCTCCCTCGTGAATGATTTTGTGGGCACAAATGAGCTGGTTCCACGGCGAGCGCCCGCTATACGGAAATTCAAGGATTGGTTGCTATCTACACTGGCCTTTCCGGTCGCTCTGAATGTGGGCATAACGTTCTGGACCCTCTACGCCATCGATCGTGAATTAGTCTTTCCTAAGGTGCTGGATCCTGTCTTCCCCAGGTGAGTGAAAAAGAATTGCATTTTGTCTATTTATATGAATTATTAATTTATTTTATGTCATGTACTTTCGCAGCTGGCTCAATCATGTATTGCATACAAATATTGTTGTCTTCATTGTCTTGGAGATGTTTACATCATACCGTGCTTATCCAACACGCAGCAAGGGATTAACTGGTCTCACCATCTTTATGGGCAGCTATCTGGTCTGGATACATATTATCAAACACTACTCCAATGTCTGGGTATATCCTGTCTTGGAGGTCCTGCAGCTGCCACAGCGTATTCTATTCTTCGCCGCTGTGTTGGGCTTCACCTTTGCTCTCTATCTGCTCGGAGAGTTCATCAACAATGTTGTTTGGGCCAAGGAAGTCAAACTATCGCTGCGCAAATCCAAGTAGGCTGTGTATGTCTTACAGAATCCCCTCAAGTAGTCAATAAAAATAATGAATTTTACACCAATTGAAAACTTAATTAAATTGCTGATATCTAATGCTACACGTAAACTCTTTAGTAAATTGACTAAATAGCGTTTGAAGTATTAGATTGCACATTTGCAAATTTCAAGTTCGAGTATGCGTTGTTTATATTAGATGAGCATCATTAATTTATCAATTGCCTAATAATTCATATCAAATGCAAATGAAGCACTGCAAAATAAATAACTTAAAACTTACCTGCGTTAAATTGTAAATTTTAATTCTAGTATCTCTCTAAATAAAAACAATTGAACTTAATTTTGTAAATATCTTTTTGCATACATTCAAATATTGGCGCCTTAAATGTCAGTTGAAATTAGAGTAAATCAATTACGAAAGTACAACGCAATTGTTGGATGCTGCGAGGGTGCTCCGCCACACCCAACAAAAAAAGCTTATAATGTAGCCCTGGTACGTGATGAGCAGCTGTTCGCTAACTCCACCTCTGTTATGATCGCTACTCAGCAATTACATGAATTACATATGCAGGTGTGTCTGTATGCGTGTGTTTACTGGAATGCAAATAACCTGCTGTTAGCCTTCCAGTTGAAATTTACAGTTTCCAAAAAACTCTTTGCAATATCTTCTTCCGCAGCGGATGTGCCTTTAATTGCCAACCAAGTGTGACTTCTCTCTAAAATCGTTCTAGTCTTGTTCACAGGTAATTTCTCACCTGTAACAAAACTGACCCTTGGCTGGTTTAAGCTACCTGCTGAGCGAGTTTCAGCTCATTCAACCTGAGGTACTAACTAACAATTTCTATGTACGCTAAGTTTTCTAAGTCTGCTCATTTTTTTATAGTCACGCATTACGACTGTTTACAGTTTCGTATTCTATTTATATAGCCCTGCGGGATGTATTCTATCTATATACATACGTATGTAAATACATATACATATGTATACAAATAATAAATATCGAAACTTTACAGAGTCAACCAAAATAGAGTTCCATTTGGTTTTTGTTTATTTTTTCATAAATATATGTTTTGAATTATTATTGTTATTATTATTCTGAGCACAGTTTTCGCTATCCATATAATATCGATGGTTACGTGAGCTAGGCTGAATTAATTGAGAGTCTCGGGCTAGTCGAAAATGTAATACTCTACACATACATACATAGATTTAGGTTTCATTTTAGTTCATAGTAGTTTGCACTTTTCACGTGATTAATTTTATAAGCTTTGCATTACAAAATATTAATAATAATTCAATTTATTGAATTGTTAATATATATGTATTTAAATTGAAAGTGAACGAAATATTTGACACAAAAAAAAAATTTTTTTTTTTAATTTTTAAAATTCAACAATCAATATTTATTTAACAATATTCAAAGTTTCACCAATGAAATATTTTAGTTAGCTTAGTTGATTTAGCTCAAAGACAAAGTAGATTAATTTGAATTCTTGTTTTGCCCTATTCACTTTTCCAAGCATAAAAGTTCGCAATTTAATTCATATTGAATTTATTTCTAGATACAAGAAAATAGATGCATAGAAATTCTAATTGCAGTCACTGTCCCAAGTCGAAGTACGCCTTGCCTCTGCAGCTATAATATAAGTCAAACGAAAATAAAGAATGTATTTGGATTTAAAATCGTTTTATTAGTTACAAATGCTTAAATATAAACGTTTTTAGGCACTTTGTAATACAATTTCGTTCGCTTTCGATTTGTGCGTTGTCCCAAAAGGGGCGACAGTTTGTACATTTAAAACAACATACATTTAAATATAGATATATATAAAAACTATATAAAACTATAAACTAGTTTAAGGAAACAGTCATTATACATTGATACAAGGCACATAATGCATTGTGCTCTGAGTTTTTGTAAAATTTGCAGTTTGTAAACTTAGTTGCTATGAGTATTCGTAAACTTATGGAAGATTCTGTTTTCATTTCGTTGTTGTTTATAAATTTAAGTAAATGCATTTCGATTAATTGCCCTACTTGGATGGCAGCAGCAACATTTTAAGTTTATCCGATTCACTCAACAACGTAGCTTCCTTCTGATGGTGATGATGATGATGATGATGGCCATGATGGTGTCGCGGATTGAGCAGCGTTTGCATTTCGGTCGCATCGTCGCAGTTAATCTCGTTGCGCTGCCGACTTGCTGCATTGAGCAATCGCATCGCTTGCTGCAGCTCCTCGTTGCCATAGGTGGGCAGCGTATGATTGGCTATCTCAAAGGGATTCGCTTGTATGCCCACGTCACAGCTAGTTTTGCTATTGCGTGAATTCGACTTGCCCGAGTAGGAACTATGCAGCATGCCACCCAATCCCAGACCCGGTAAGTCCAGCTCCACAGAGGAACAGCTCAGCGAGTCCCCATTGACATCCAGAGCTGCGGCCAGCTGCCTAGCATAATTCTGCTTAAAATCGCTATTTGAGTCGACATCCAATTCCGGTTCGCGATGTGATTTGCTGCTCTCCTTGCGTGATTTGCGACTGCGTTGAGAATTGCGCGACTGCCTATTGCCATTGCAATTGGATTCGTTGGACTTTTGCATGTGTTTCAAAAAGTGCTCCAAGGCTTTGGAGTTGTTGCCATTGTTGGGCAACTCTTGTATTTTAGGTCCATCATCATTGTCGTCATCCTCCTCTTCCTCCTGCTTGACAACCACATTGAGATCTTGTATCTTGAACGAGGCACGCGAATTCTCCTCCTCATCTGATGAGGTCGTCATGCCTTGATTCTGTAAGAATGGCAATATGAATTGCCCATTCTTCTGTATGAAATCGTTGATGATGCTCGGATCTAGTCCTGCATTGCGGCGCCTGCTACTGTTGTGCTTTTTGGTGCTGTGGGCAAACATGCCCACCTTGTGACTAGCATTCGGATAGGTGGTCTTCTTCAGAGCAATCACCTGTGACTCCACCGAGGTGCTGCTCTCGCGGCGTCCACGTCCACGTCCATTGCTGGCCGCAATGAAATCTCTACGTCGTTGCGTACGCTTATTGCTGCTGCTCGCGTAGCCGTGCTTGCCATGTTGACGACTGCGCGATGCCACCTTTGTCTTCATCTCAGCTATCTTAACAGAAACTTGAGAGTCCACAGAATTGCGTCGCGATTCAACAGACACATGTCGCACGCTAACGCTAATCTCCGAGTCTAGTGAGTTCTTGCGACCAGCCTGATGACCCTGACTGGAGGAGTTCGTGTTGCCAGCCGTGACTCCAGTCAAAGCCATGCGACGTTTAACACACTGTGGCAAATAGTGCACCCAAGTTGAGCTAATCTCATTCGTTTCCGACGAGTTCAAGTCATTTACATCGAAATTCAGGCCAACTGGATCGGTATGCGTGTTGTAGAGCGTTATAGAGAGTCTACCCTTGTCCTCAAAATCCTTGCGCTTGGCCCATGTTTGGGCAATGACCTTGTGTTTCGGCATTTTGACTTCCTCGACAACCTCCTGGCCGCACTTTCTAGTAAAGGAAAATGAAGATGTATTACTATATTATAGAACTACTTGCTTGAGAGGCTACTCACTTTTTAATATAGCGCTTCCAGGTCTCTATGGAGGATGGCGTCCAGCACCAGGTGGACATAAGTATCCCAGAGCTGAATAGACAAAGCAAATGCAGCTGCAAAATGCCCACACTTGGACGATTCTCGATCTTACAGACGCTGTTCTCATCAAAAACAGAGCTGATGCGGCAACTGCAAGAATTAATGTTATTAAGTTTGAATATAGGATATTTTGTTAAAATACTCACATTATATACTCCCTAAAGCTCTCTGTCCATTCATTCGAATGTCGAAATTCGGTGACATGGCACGCGATTGCAACTAGTATAAAAATCAATGTTAATAAAGCACAAACGCCCATGCGCATAATAATCAAATGGATTTTGTTGCTCGCTGAAGTTGACTTGATGTCGTTGGCAAAATGCTTTAGACCGAACAACATAATCATGCCGCGGGTAATGAAATAGCCACCGATTAGGATGACGCCACACAGTGGACCCAGAAGCAGGCCAGCTCTCATCGGATGATTGATATAGCCAACAAAACAAATGCCCACAATGCCATTGGCATCGACCTCACTGAGCGCCATTGTGGTAATGGTGAGCACCAGAGGCAGTGACCAGGCAACCAAATGGAAGTACGAGCCTTTCTTGTCGATGCGATCTTGTACATGGCCCATGGCACGCCAATGCCAAGCGTAGGTAAGAAAGACAAACCAAACCATGCAGGCGGTTAGGAAGTAATAGACCAGCACAAAGATGACAACGCAAGAGAGATTCTCGCCAGCTGCAGGCTCCGAGTGACGCAATGTTCCATCTTTTCGGCAGACAATATCCTCGCGAGATCCAGATGTGAATTGCACCAGCCAACTGGAGGGAAATATATGTTAGTTCATATAATAGAAATTTAATTTGAGTCCACTCACCCGAAGCAGGAGATAAGAAAGCATAGATTAATATAGAACACAATCACAGCAGGATATTTGTTGGCATTCTGCCAGTCGATGAGAAATGTAGCAACCACAAACAGATTCGAGAGTAGACAGAGCGTACCTCCATACCCTATAAGCTTATGTATCTGACGATGTTCATCATCCGTATACAACGGATCTTTGCATTGCACGCCACAGCCCTCAATGTCAGGATAATAGCTCGCTGAATTATCAGCCGGCACAAGAGGCGTCAAGCATTTGCCTGTTACATTGAATTTCATCTCTCGCGCATCGTTGCTGCATTTCATAGGAAAGAGCGTTTCGTTGCAGCGCATAAATTTTGGGAAAAATGTTGTATTATATAGCACACGACATGGCTCAAGGGTAATCCGGCACATTTCATATGAAGGCAGGTAGACCATATCCTGGCCATTAATTTCCTCACATTTCGGTTTGAAGACTGCGCATAAAAATGGCTGCAAAAGCGAAGCATTAGTTTCTCATATACAGGTAACTCGCAGATTATCTTACCTGAATAACAGCCCAGCATTTGGGTACATGTCGCAGAGCATAATAACTACCCAAAGCCTCGTTCAACTCCTTTTCCTTACGATAGTCAGTCAAGCTGAGACTGGTCAGTGCATAGGGAAGCTTGGAGCCGAAGCATGTGTTATGCGTTCCATTCACTTCCAGGCAACGTCCACGACGCACACACTGTATATGGCGATTGTCGAGGCCATCGAACCAGGGCTTATCGTCCTTGCCCTTCTTGCCATACAATCGATAATTCATGGTTCCATTGATAGGCTCCAAATCTATGGAGCTAACTGTAGCTGAACCCGCATTCAATTTAGTGGCACTAAAGCTACCCAAACTGCCAGGCAGCCAGCTGGACAGCAGCAGGCAACAAAGAGTGAGACAGCTCCTAGTAAAAAGAAAACAGACGAAGATTTCAATATAGATAGATATGTATATACATACGAGTATATATATTCCAAAAGATAATAATTGGCTGTGACACCTTTTGCATACTTACGTCTGCATTTTGTATTTGTCGCAAGCGATTTATTTTTTTCTAATAATATATATATTAAGCGCAGCCTTTTGTGAATATTAATGTCTAGACGGTCGCGCCTTGTTTGGCCTACCAAACGAAATCTTGCAATCAGTGCATTTTGCCGTCGTTTTTGTGTGTGCGTTGCCAATGCTCGTTAAGTAACGCGTTGGTTTTATTTAAATTTACAAACTATTTAATTCAAAAATAAATGCCAGAAGTGAAAATAAAAAGTAAACGCGCCGCGAACAGACGAAAGCAACAAATGAGCGTTTGATTGCTGTTGCCGCAGACCACCCACTACGCTGTGCTGCTATCGGCTATCGATAGCCAGCGACCAAAGTCGCGCTAAAGTTATCGACGTGTGGCGTTTTATTACATCCCTGGCCACAGTTTGGCTTGTGCAAATTTATACACGGGCATTATACAAAAAAAGAAAAGAAGAAGCCTCGATTTGAAATTGAAAGCTGTGTGTGCATTTTGGGTTTTAATAATAATTGTTAGCCATGGATGCCGCTCCAGCTGTAGCGCCGCATGCTGCAAATGAGGCAAAGCCACAGCCACAACCCCCGGCCCCGGCGGCCGCTGCGCCAAACGAAAATGGTGTACAAACAGCAGCAAAAAAATCTGAAACAGCGACGGGCACAGCCACAGGCTCCGGTACGTAGTATATATGAGTGTGTGTACACATTCGGCACTAACATACACACAACTTCAATTTGTTTATTATTGTTGTTTCTCTCACACACAGAAATGCATTCCAACGTTGACACTGGAAAAGTGCTCGAGGCGCAAAAAACGAAATCGGAAATGAACAGTGAAATGGTTTTAATAACAATATGCAGTGCCGATCGTAAAATTAAAAAGACATTCATGTCATTGCCCAGCAGAAAGGATGTTATTGAAAAAGGTAAGTGTGCATGAATCGTTACTAATATTTTATTTATAATTATTTTTGTATACTTTTTCATAGCACACAAATACGGCTTGGCTGGAAGTACCATAGTACTGGAAAGCAATGGCTGCGAGATATGTGAAGATGAGGTGTTGCTCTTCGCAGCCAAGGAGAAGATTTTGTTAATGCTGCTTGCGGAAAGCGATGAATATGTTATACTACCTCCGCCCTCGCCTTTGAATCGTTCAGAGCGTGCGGGCAGCTCATTGGATCCCAGTTTTGTATCGAATGCCAATGACTCAACAGTATCGAATGACGAGACTCTATCGCTGGCTAGTGTCACGCCAAGCAATTCAAAGTTATCTACAGCGCCGTTTAAGGAGTTTTCGATACCTTGGAGTAAGGTACCAAATGATATTATGAAGTTGTTGCGTGGCAAAACGAGCCTGGGCAAGCGTCTCAATGCGTTGGCCAATCTCTTGGTCGATGCACTACGCGAACGCTCCTCACACATACCTATACTTGTATTTCGAGAGGTCGCACAGCAGGCGGCTGAAAAGTATCCCGATTCATTGCTGGAAAAGGATCGGGAGGGCCAACAAATTGCCACGACGCCACAGTCTCTCATCTCCAAAATGATCAATCGTAACAATGCGCTAAATCGTCCACAAAAACGAGCCAGCTCGAGCACAGCTGATCTACACATTACCAGCAGTAGCAGCAGTAAGAAACGTAAATCGGGAAATGGTGGAGCCGTGGCATCTAATGGAAATGCCAAATCTTTAGCATTGAATCGTGATCTTGAAGAGAAGAAAGATTTGCTGATATCCAGCTATCGTGGTGCTGCCAAAGTGGAGCAAAGTACCATAGACGATTATATGAAGGAATGCTTTCCGTTGCAGCGCGCCTTCTTCAACAATAGCGAAAAGATACCAGACATTACGGCCATCAAGGATAATTGGCCGTATATCTTCAACAAGCCACTGCTCTATCAGCATTTCGAATTGCTCATGTCTATTGATCCGCGTGTATTAGAGAAGCGTTTTACCAGTGAAAAGGAACGATTGTTCAAATTCTTTAAAATGTCCAAAAATAAGAAAGTGAACGCCCTGGAGGAGAACAACGCGAATATGGTGCGTGGACTGGCATACTATTTCAATGAGGATCCTGACTATATATTCAAGCAATACGATCATGGACCTTTGCCCGATGATGTGCTACAGCACATCAATCCAACCAATGCGCCTTGGGTGGCACTAGTCAGTAAGTTTTTTCGATGCCCGATCAACGCTTTTGTTTTGTATTAATATGTATTCACTTTATTAGATACGCCCATATCTGTTGGCGATGAGGGTGCCCATACTGATGCAATGGTCTACATTGAGGGACAAATAATGAGCACGTTTCCAGCTTCAGATGCTGATATACCAGATATAATTGCCCAATTGATCTGCTACTATTATACCTTTAACATGATGTACCCCAAGGAAGCCAATCAAACACTCGAATTTATTGTCATCTACTTTTTACAACATACGCCGGAACAGGTGCGCAACTCCAAAAAGAGCATTACTTCGAATAGTAAATACAATCAGCTAATTTCGAAATTGGCAAATGCAAATGGTTGAGCTGGAAGACCGAGGAGAGGACATCGCATACTAATTAGTTTACATACATATATATATTTATTTTGCAGACCCCATTTCACATTATACTCCTTTCTAATTTTTAAGATGATTTATATAAAGTGTGTAGTGTACTTATGTTGTGTATTGTACAATTTTTCTCATTTCAAACAAAACTTTTTCATACAATTTTCGATTACTTTCTAAATTTATTTGTCGACCTTACAAGTCTTGAATTATGTTGTAGGTCCTCTATGGCGTTTTTTAGACTGGACGTTTTCTCGTTCATCACGGCTTTTGTTAATTTCCTACGCAAGAAATTGCGTTCTTTAAAGGACAAATTTTTGGGATCTTGCATTATTCTGTCGGCAGTATTAAGCGTCTTGGTCGTCGTTTCGTTGTCGTCGAACGATTCCCATTTGGGCTTTTCGCTACGACCTGTTTCGATTATATTGCGACGGTAATTTTGCTCCCGTTGCTTTACCATTTCTTTAGCGTTCTGGCTATGCATATCAAAGCGACCGGTAGTTCGTTCATCATCTAGAATTTCGTTTTTCACATGATGCCATGGTTTGGCCTCCTGTTCAATGGGCGCTGGTGCTGCGTGTCCAAATGGTTTTGGCTTAAACTTTTGTTTGCCCCAATTCTTAGAGCGCTCAGTCACTTCTCTTTTAAATTTATAGGAATTACGCTCAAGCTTTTTCAAATCGGATCTAAACATTTTGACAAAGTTTGTACGATGTAAACAGCACGCTAATAAAAAGTTATCAATATAAACAATTGGTTAAATCATTTCTATCGATTCTTACGATATTTAATATGCGATGGTTGAGCAGTGATATAGAATTGGCATATTTTGTTTTGGAAACAAGCTTGAATGTTTAGATAAATTAAACATTTATTTATTTAAGTTTTTAAATTATTGATTAAGACTCGCCTACCGCATAACTGAATGAAAAGTTTAATTACAATGTTTATTCGTTAATCTTAATCGAATAATTTTTAAATATCGACAACAGCTATACGTTATCGATGCTAGCTATTAACCTGCAGAACATCGATACTTATCTAACACGTGCGGTGATCTGAATGGTTTTTTAAGCGGCGGATCCGAAATCGACGACATGGAGCCTAATTCTGGTGGCAATTGGCATGATAATTCAGGTCATAACGATTATCATTATATGAATAATAGTGGCGACCAACAATCTGGTCAATGGAGCGACAAAAGATACGAGCAGAATAACTTAAACCGCGAGGCTCATGGTCGAGGACACAACGACGATTCATTTAAAAAGTTTCGTGATCAAAACCAACCGCAAAAGCAATTTCAGACTCGTCAGTCTGTAATGAATGGTCGCGCTGGCGGTGGTGGTGGTGGAGGTGGTGGAGGTGGAGGTGGCAGAGGTGGAGGCGGTGGCGGTGGCGGCGGCGGCGGCGGTGGAGGAGGAGGAGGTGGACGTAGTGGAGGAGGTAGACATGGTGGAGGAGGAGGACGTGGTAATGGAGGAGGAGGAGGGAGGGAGGTGGTGGTGGTGGTGGTGGAGGTGGTGGCAGAGGACGTCCAGACAGAAGAAGGGACAATCACAGAGGAGATCGATGTGGCAGAGACGGAAGAAGAACGCGATATGGACATGATGGAGGCGGAGGTGGAGCCGGCGGAGGTGATGGAGGCAGAAGCGGCTTACGAAACAAACAAAACCATGGAGGCAATCAGTCTAGTCCCTGGTACCAGGACAAAATGCCCAATGATGTATTCTACTTTTCTAATGGAAAACACAAAAATGAAAATACTAAAATTCCGACTCCTACAGAAGCACCAGCAGTTGCAACGCCTACAGCCGAGCCGACGAAAGAAGCAACGCCTGTGGTTGCAGCAACCCCAGCAATTGCAGCGACCCCAGCAATTGCAGCAACCCCAGCCATTGCTGCAACCCCACCAATTGCAGCTATAAATCAAACGCCTCTAATTAGTCCAGCTAACATCAAGAAGGAAAAGAAAGAGGCGTCAGTCAAGCCGCCGGCCAAACCAGCGGAAAGCAGCGAAGACAGCTCCTCCAGCAGCTCCGATGAAAGTGTCGAAGCCGGTGAGGTAGTCAAAAAGACAACAGTTGTTAAGACTGAAGCGGCTAAAGTGAAGGTTAAAGTTGAAGCGGCTAAAGTTAAGGATAAAGCTGATGCCGCCAAAGTAAAGGTTAAAGCCGAGCCAGTTTCTAAAGCACCGCCATCATCCTCTTCTTCCTCATCGTCCGAGGATGATTCAAGTGATGAAAACCCAGCGGTTAAGGGAAAAACATCAGTCAAAGATACTCCACAGAAATCGCCAAAAAGTGCCAACAAAAGTGCATCCGAAGATGATGTTGTTTGTATGGGAAACGAAAGTCGCAAATACACAATTCCAGATGAGGATGATGATGAGGATGAGGATGAAGATGAAGCCAAGGCCAGCACCGATGAGGAGGACAAAGTTGTGGAGACGGAAGAAAAAGGCAAAGACAAGACGTCTCACATATGCGGCATTTGCGATAAGAAGGTAGGTCAATCATATATCGCATCTGTACTATACTAAAGATGGTTACTTACATAGGGGCACACTTCATTTGAGTGCCAGATGATCTGCAGGAATTGCTCGGCGCCCTATCACAGTTTGAAGAACTGTCCGCAGCCTCCTAATTTGAATATTGCGCTGCAGGCTTTCATGGAGTTTAGCATGCAACAATTGGCCGTCTTTAATATGGATAAACGTTTCACATTTCCTGGTAACGTAGTCCCAGCGCCACCTCAACAGTTACCAGCTGCCCAGCTACAAACTCCAACAGTGAACAAGACTAAAAAGGATAAACGAACTCTGAATAAAAAGGCAAAGAAAATGCCTAAGAAGAAAATCAAAATAGAGGCAAAGCAAAGCGACGACGAGGATGACGACGACGATGACGAGGATGATGAGGATGAGTTAGAAGAAGCAGATCCCACTGACACAGAATCAAGTGATTCCAGCGCTGAGGCTAAGCCAGCAACTAAAATCAAAAGGAAACGCACCTCCAAGCAATCTTCTAAGAACTTGCCAACTGGTCCCGCAGCATATCCTTTTCCGTTGCTGGCTCCTGGTGCACCATATAATCCGATAATGTATCCATATGGAGCTCAGTTTAGTTTTCCTAAATAATTTTTAATTTTGTATACAAGTTTTCTTTGTATATATGTTTAGATATAAGCATAAAATTATTATTAAATAGAAAAAGCATGTGTAAACTTAAGTTAATTTTGATCATATCAAATCATTGATTATGAAATTAAATCAACGTTTTCCTTTGTCAGATTTTGGCTACCATTTACTCCTGGAGCACAGCATAGCTGATGGCTTCGATCTGTGATTAAGCAACAAATTTTTAATATGATTTCTTGTATACATAAATATTGAATATGCCAAGAAAAGTATAATTACTATGACGTGTTTAATATGCATGTGTATATTAGTTTACTCATTGTAATATTATATTACTGTCAGGATTCATTTAAAAATCGTCGCACCAGGCGGTTGTCTGCGTTTCCGGTGACTGTCAAATTACCGATTGTATTGCAGCCCTGGCAAACTCACAGCTGTTGCGTGCCATGCTGCAATTTGTTTAATGTTTACAAGAAACCCGAGTTTCTCGCAATTTGTGAAGCAAAGTGCAGTTACGCGTTAAATATCAATACAGAAAAACGCATAAGAGATACGCTCAACACGGTAAGTCACAACATATATTTATTTTCTACATAAAATTTATGTGCACACAGAACTAGAGTGTCCATAGACCTGTGGATTCTGTTCGTAGTGATTATGGGATAATGAGAGGGAGAAAGGCAGAGTGGTTAACTAGTTAGTACAGAGGGCGCGCTGTTCTCGTTCGCGTTCGGTGCCGCAGCTGACCGGATGAGGCATGACCGAAGGCTCGGCGCCTGGCTTAAGCAGCGTCTGCTGAAGGCCCCAAATCACTTGATTCGCAATCACATTGACTGCCAGCATTAAAGCCGTCTCATAGTTAAGTGGATTCACAGCGTAACTGAGTATGCCCACAGATATTTGATTGTTCAAGAAGTCCTTGTCCAGCTCGAGCAGCTCCTCGCGCACCTCCATAATGCGATTCTCATAGTGGCACTGAATGGCAGCAAATACTTGCTTATCGAGGCCAACGAGCAGCTCCCGCTTGAACTTGACCAAATAGTGCTCGATGAAGATGACCTCCTTGCGATTCAGGTGCGGCAGGCGCACCTTCTCCTGTATGACCTGGTCCCCAATTTGGCTGACTACCAACGAGGTCAACGAGCCCGCCGGCGTGGGCCGACGATCCCCGCAAGGACGCACGTCCACAAATGGATGTATCTCATAGCTACCCACGCCAATGGTGCAAGCAATACCATTGAACGAGACATGTGAGGTACGTGCATGATTCTTGCCAGACATACCAGATTTGTGTGTTGGTGTTGATGGCAGCTCCATGGCCTTGTTATCATGGGCAAAGCCAATGATCTGAATGGCTTTCTGAGGGTGGGAGAGGAAAAATTGGTGGAAGATATAGATATAAGAGGATATTGCCCGCATTATCACACAACTTACATAGTTTACATATTTCTTAGCATCGCATAAGAAGTTCGCAATGCGATCGGATAGAACGTGCATCGCACACGGATCCTCACTCAAATCCAAATCAAAGCCGAGCAGTATGTGATTGAGGATGTACTGTGCTGCCTTGTAGATGGGATCATCGGTGTCGAAGGTCAATGGAGCATTTCCACCCATTGCAATAGCTGCATTCAATGCATAACAAAGCTCGCTATCGAGGAGACCTTCAAAGCTTGCTTGATATTCATCACAGAATGAAGGTGTCGCCTTCTTCGAGACGTCAACGGCCTTACTCTTCTTCTTGCTCTTCCTTTTCTTCTTGCGTCCTTTAGACTTCTTCTCTTCCTTGATGTTGTGGGAACGCTGCTTGATTTGCTCCTGAATCCGTCTCCATTTCTCGCGATATTTCTCCTTGTGCGACTCAATGAATAATTCGCGTTCCTCTTTAACTTCTTTAAGCAGCTGATCGATTCTTCGCTGATTGGCAATACGTTCGTGCAGGCGTTTATGCCACGATTGTATTTGGCCCTCAGTGTGTTTGGTCAAACGCTGCTTGTGCAAATTACGCATATTCTTGTTATATCGATCCTTCTTGAACTGGAACAGTTTCTTCAGCTTAATCAGGTGCTTACGCTGCAAATCCTGATGCAAACTGATGTGGGCCTGGACTCGCATATTGGTCAACATTTTGCGATGTTCGAGAAGCATCTGCTGCATAGCTAACATGCTCTCCATTCTCTTGAATTTCTCCTCTGTTATATTATAGATTCTCACTTTTCTTTCATGCTTCTCCTCTTCAATTTGTTGTTTCCTAGCCATCACTTCTTCCTGACTCTGATGACGTACACCCGTTTGTAAGTTATCCCTCCGCGAGATGCCCTCCGCATTGGCAATCAACATGCGATCGTGTCTTTCTGCCTCCCTTTGCCTATACGCTTGCAGCACATAGTAGAGCTGCGACTTATGAAGTTCCTCACGATATTGATTGAAGTCCTTTAGATTGCATATCACTTCATTGTTATCGGTTATCTCGCCATTCTCGCGTAATCGTTTCAAATTACGCTCGTTCGAGTAGAAGGTCTTCAGATTTGAATCGTGCAACGGGTTATATTCGGGTATATGAACCGTTACCGATGAATCGAATTCCTGCATGCTACATTTGAACTGGAATCAAAAGGAAAGCCATATATGAAGTTTCATTGGGCAGTACTTCTTCATATCTCAATTAAAATCTTACCGAGTTTCCGATTTTATCCTTTGAGAATATCACCTGATTACCAGGACACTTGAGCATAGGCAATTTACAGTTTAACGGTATTAGCTCCCAACCGGGTAAACTGTTAATGGGCAGCCCAGTCTTATAGCTGGGCTGCTTGGTCATCATTTGGCTGGTCACATTGTTCCGCCGAGGCAATGATAATATATCAATCATGATTGCTTACAGTGTACATACATATATCTGTATGTATGTATATATTGCACTATGTCAGACAAACGCTAATACAAGTGGCCAAATTTTAGGACCAATGGAATTTTGTAGTATATCGATTCGTGCAGAAATTCATTCGAAAGAATCGTGTTGTTGTGTAGATATAAGTAGAAATATTTAGTTTGATTTTATTTATTTTTTGCGATGGAATAACATTCTTAATAAACAAAGAACAAAATTGAACTGAACTAAATTATAAATTTAGTCTGACTACCTATTTTATTGCTTGAATCTCTGGGCAAAGCCTACTGTGCGAGCTTTCATTTGCTCTCACTCTCTCAGTGACTCGCTCTCTCTGCTCTCAGCAAACTAACAGCTTCCGTTAGTCCTTTTTACTTGTTACTTTTACCGTTTTGTTTGTTTATTGTTGTTTTCTGTTGTTTGGCTTGTGGCGCTTCTTCTTCTTTTTGCTTATCAAAGCTTTCGTTGTTGTCACTTCACTTGAGTGCGCTACCGCTCTCCCCCTCTCTCTCAATCGTGCTTGTCATTGTTCTTGTTATTATCGTTGCCTAGGGTCGCACATTGAAAAAAAAAAAAAAGCTACAAAGAATGCAATTTCATTCAACTATAATTCAATCAAATTTTGCTAAATAAAAGCTTTTGTATATTGCTCCTTTCTTTGTTGTTTATGATTTAATAATATTGTTGCTTCATTGAGCTTAAATATCAGCCAATACAAATGATATAAGAAATCAAAAGCTGATCGACTTTTTTTATTTATAATATTTTATAATTTTAATAATTTGTTCTCTACGATTTCAATTTGTTTTTTGTTTTTTGTTTTTAACCTGAGCACTAATATTTTTTTAAACGGTTTCCATTTATTTGATGTGTCTATTTGTTCAGATAAGATAATATGAAATTAGTATTGAATAGGAAATTATTCAATAATTGTATGCCACTGTATAACAGCAACAACTGTATAAGATTCTCTCTGAAATACCACAAATTCCTTTTTATGATATAAACAAAGTTGTTTATGTTTCTTTTATTTATTGATACATATTGTTGAGCTTGCGTATGTGTGCGTCAGTATGTGCGCTGGTATTGGTAATTTGCATTAGAATTTCACGATTTGGTCCTGTCAGCTATTAGTCTCGCTTGATTTGGAATTGTCCTAAGACGCCAAACAATGGGCATTTTTGTATACATACAGACAAATATATATTTATATCTTATATAAGTGCCTGTTTTACAGAGAGTTTCAGCATCAGCATAAATATTTGCCAAATAGCTTCGACTGTCTGACGGTCTTTGAGTGAGTGGGTCGTCGATAAGTTTATCTCTATATGTGTGTGTGTGTGTGTGTGAGAGAAATTCTACTCACGGCTGTCATAAAAAATAAAATCACATCAAGTACTAAGTGTACGTGCTCCAAATACGCTCTCGTCTGTGCCTTTCCATTTCAACAAACAGTCGAAAACGGCGTCGCCTCTTTCCAGTCCGCACCTGGGCGGCCGTTGATATAAATAAAAAATGATGCCTAGCATCCTAAAAAAGGAGAACATATAAAAAAAGTAAAATAACATAGGTGCGTGCCAATCTGTGGTGATAAGTTCTTGCCTAGCCTGACCCATTTACCGTTATATAATAGTTACTTCCTGTTGGCAGGTGAATCAGAACTGTGCGCGTGAGTCGTGAGTGGTTTTCAATATATATCGTATGTAATTTTTTAAGTCATCTATTCGTAACTTTTTTGGCGTATATTTTGTATATAGGCCAAAAGTAAACGAAAAAGTATATATTAATTACAAAATTATATTAATTACAAAAGATGTAAGTTAATGGTAATAGAGAATAATAGCTTATAAATGAAACTTCAAAGCTAAGTCAGAGTTGAACTTATCAGAACACAATTTATTGAAAAACTAGGTCTTATTTACAATCATTCTATATTAGTTTAACTAAAGGACTCACCATTTCACTCACACTTACTCCAAATTGTTTAGCACTCACACGGTCATCTCCAAAATATGAGCAGCCACCCACACTAACTTTCACACACACTGTAAAATCTACCCTCAAAGAAATGCCCAACACAATCATAAACACACACACACACACACACACCCACACCTACAAACAAATATCGAGATAGTTCGTTTATGTGTGTGTGTGCAGTCGTCCCTGGCCTGTCTTTAAGTCGAAAAAACGCTTTGCCGGCAACCAGACAGCTGTGACATGTCGCTCTCTTTCTCTCTCGCTCTCTGACTCTATTACCATTGACATCTCCCAACCACCCATCCAAACAAACATATATACGATGGCTGCTTTCAATTGCTCAAAGCTTGGAGCGCACACTTTCAATTCGCTTTCAACTTCAAACTGATTTTCGGCTTCGGTTTCGCCTCGCCGCATCGTGTGCTTTCAATTGCAGCCTTTGGCAAAGCTTTGCGCACATAACACAGCTCAGTTGCTTCGCGTCCGTCTAGCGAGTTGGTGCGTCTGCGTTGCGTTGCGTTGTGTTTTTGGTTTTACTACCAGCTACTTTACAGCTCTCACTCTATCTTTCACTCCGCTCTCTTCGTTCTGATTACTCTGCGTGCGTGTGCGTGAGAACGTGTGTGCGCCCATATTGCTAGTGTGCCTGTGTCTGTGTGTTGTGTGGCTAGCCCAAAACAAATACGTTAAAAAGTAGTAGTAGTCCAATAAAAAGAAAAAATAAAATAAACAACAAAAGGATAATCATTCAGCAAGAGTCCTTGGTGTATGGGGGTGGCAGCCTGACAACAGACAACCCTAGAAGCACCACCCCCTTGTAAACGTGTTTTTATGCGTGATTATTAACTGCGCCATTGCTTCACACACACACATACACACACATAAGCACACAGACATTGAACAAAAAGGCAACGGTAAACAATAGTGAACATAACCAAAAGTTAATAACATTGAATGAAGTGCATAACGCGCAGGATAATTGCATGTGGCTTATATAAATAGGCGCCAGTGTGGGCGTGGCAGCAGCAGCAACAACAGCAACAATAACAGCAACAACATTTGTAATGTGCCAGTTGTTGTTAGCATTTCACATCACTCAATCATCCAACACATTTTCATCATCTTTAACAACATGCGAAACGCTGCCAAAGCGACGCCATTAGCAGAGCAGCAGCAGCAGAAGGAGCGGCAGGAGCAGCAACAGGATCACATAATAACCATCAGCACTGCCAGCCTTACAGAACAACAGGAGCCGCCCGTCAAGCACTACGCACAACAAGCAACAGCAACTACAGCAACACCTGCAACAGCACCAGCAGCAGCAGCAACAGCAACCACTGCAAGTGGAGCAAGTGCAGCCGCTGGAACAGCTGCAGCATCAGGAGTTGCTGCGAATCCTGCACCAACTAACAACTCCGTCCTCTGTCAACTGATTAGCTACCAGAATAACATAGCTGATGTCCAACATAGACGTGGCCGACGCTTACATGGACTCCAGCTGCCGTTGCATCCACTGCAGCTATTCGGTTGGCTCGTGTTACTCCTGTTCGGTTTGGCCAGCTATTGGATACTGATACCCGCCTTTCATGCGCCCATCCAAGGGCCACTCTATGGCCTGATCTCCGGCCTGTATGTGGTGCATATTGTGGCCCATTTGACTGCATTGTTGACCGATCCCGCTGACAAGGAGCTGCGACGCGTGCATCGCAACGATCGCATTGTGCCCGAGTTTGATCGCAGTAAACACGGCCATGTCATCGAGAACGGACGCTGTCATCTGTGCAACATAAAGACATCGTCGCCCAGGACCAAACACTGTTCGGTGTGCAACAAGTGCGTGGGTAAATTCGATCATCACTGCAAGTGGCTGAATCATTGCATCGGCTCCCGGAACTATGTCGCCTTTCTAATGTGCGTCGTCAGTGCTGTGGTGGCCACGCTGGTCATTGTGGCTGCCGTTGTGGGGCAGATCGTGCTCTACTACGTGCAGCCGGATTGGCTGAGCTTCTATTGGTGCAGCAATCAAATGGAATTGCCCCTGGAGTCAACTGATTATATCAATTTAACGCTGAGCTTGAGCAACGGCACCATGATGCTGATGGAACAGGATCAACAGATGGAACAGGATCAGTCGCAGGAGCAGGATCTCAATAATCTCACAATCTCCACCATGCCCACGCTGCTGCAAAACTTTACGGCTCTGCTGGATCAGAGCACGTTGCAGCCGGAGCAGAAGCCACAGCTTCTGAATCATACAGTAACACCTCTGGTCGCCGGCATCGGTGTCCATGAGACGATGTACTTGCTGCTGCTGGGCGTGCTCGGACTGCTGGCAGCAATCAGTGCTGGTCTCCTCCTGCATCTCTGCTTTTTTCACATTTACATCTCGTTTCTGGGCCTGACGACGTACGAGTACATCCGGAATCATCGGCAGGCGCAGGAGGCAAAGGCTAAGCAGTTGCTCGAGCAGGGCAAGAACGGTGTCCATTTCAATCCCAATCTACCCACACTGCACCATCATCAGCAGCAACAACACCAGCATCCGTCCAAGCTCTATTGCTGCTCCAATGTGCCGCATCCGAATCAGCAGCACGAGCAGATAACTCCTGGCGCTGCGTTGCATTGCTGTGCCAGCTCGCGGGAGTTCCATCAGGCCAGCCAATCCATCTATTTGTGCTCCTTGCTGCAGGAGCGTCGCAGCGATCGACTGCAATTGGATCTGGACACCGAGGCAGCTCCGCTACGTTCCTTTCACTGCTGTTCCAGCTATGCGGCTGCCTCGATGCAGCGCAGGGTGAGCGCCGCAGCGAGTGCCAAGGCGGCGCTGGAGCCACGCCAGCGTCCACTGAGATCGAGTGCAGGAGCAGCTGCATCGTATCTGCAATACACAGAGCAGTGCACCCTCTGCACCTTTCAGCTGCGCAGTCCGCTGCGCGGCGGCCAGAGCAACAGCAACAGAAATAGCGCCGGGCGCAGCAGCAGCAGCACTCGCACCTTGGCTAGCCAAACGGCCACGCCCACATCGACGGCGTCGGCAGCAGGGAATATATCGAAGCATCAGCGCTGGCGACGAAAATGGAACTGCTGTGCCAGCGTGCCAGACAGTCCGGATGTGCCCAATGATTTGCTGGCCGCACTCTCGGCCAGCAAAATGAATGCCAGCGAGCTGCCGGTGCAGTTCATCAGAAGTCTGAATGGTGGCCTGGAGATGCCACAGGGCCCGGGCGGGGGAATGCTGCCAACTGCCACACCCACTGAACTGCCCACACTGAAGACGACGCGCAGCTCCAGGTTGCGCCACATGCTGCGTCTGCTCGGACGCTATCGACGCGCACGCTGCCAGCGTGGCCATGGCCACGGCGTGGGCGTGGCCGAGCAGCAGGTGGCCACCATTAAGCAGAATCAAATACGTCCACTGCAACTGCAGCCGGATCGAGGCTATGACAGTGGCACGAGCATGACGCAAGCGACGCCACCGCCGCCCATGAGCTCGCCCAGCCACAGCGCCAGCAGCAGCAGCGATCTGAGCAGCATCAGCAACGGCACTGGCAACAAGGAGGTGATGCTGCTGCCCACCAGCGTCATCCGGGACGATAGTGTCACCACTAGCTACACACTGACCCTGCCGCCTGCTTTGCCGCCGCCCACGCGTCGCAAGATGCCCAATCCCAGCGAGTTGGCTGAGCTGGCCGAGACCCTGGGCTTCGTCTCGAGCGGAACTCATGGAGCTGCCGGCTCCAACAGTCGCCAGCTGCCGAGTCTGGGCAATGTGTACAGGCGACAGCGTAGAAAACATTTCCTGCGCACTCGATCGCCCACTTTGTCGCCCATACACGAATCCGGGCTATCCAATCCAACATCGCCGCAACCGTTGCGCCATAGCTTGGCCAACTCCAACTCCAACTCCAGCTCCAATGCCAATGCCAAGTGCTCTCCGGATGTGACACGCTCCTCCGCGACACTCGTCCAGAATCTGTGTGGTCTAGCCGGCGAAGCTCTAAGGAAATCTGCATCCAATAGCTCGTTGCAGAGCATCAGCTCCAACTCAAGCAGCACCTAATACAAAAGGAAGACCGAGAGAGGCAGTCAATAGAGAGATAGAGAGGGAGAGAGAGTGAGAGAGTGAGAGTGAGCAGGAGATTGTGGAAGAGTTCCTTGAATTGGTTTCTGCCTAGTCCTTAGGTTAGTCATAGACGCCGTTATCCATCCAATTCCAAGAGATAAAGTTAAAGCCCAATTTTAGTTTTAATTTAGTTAAACTTGTTTTAGGATTTTGTTTCGAATGGAGGATTTATATGAATATTACCACATGTAACTTGTAAACCCCATTGAAATGGATGCGCTTGATGAGAAATTAAATATGCTGAAATGATAATACGCCAATTTGTTTGTTTTCTATGCAGATCTCAAGGGATGTTCATTATCTGATTGAATTTTTAATGTCTTATTTATGATATAATGGTATGGTATAATGTAGTATTCGGAGATCTTGTGGAATATTTTAATTTCTATATTTAATATGAGCTTCAGTATTGTTAGATCTCATAGAATATTATATATTTCATATTATCCAATTACTGATTCTATAATCTTTAGTTTAAGATCTTGTATAATCTATAATTATAGATCTTGTATACAGATCTGATATTTCTTATATATCTGAAGAGCTAATGGAATATCTTTATTCGGTTAAAGATTTTGCTATTGAGTTACTTCAAAGTTAATTATTTGGTTGGGTTAATTGAGAGATACAAAGGTTCGTGAGTTCGACTATCAACGAAAATAAATTTTAATTAATTTATAAAAAATTTCATTTCTATTTATTTTAATTTTCATTATTTGAATTCAGCTCAGTTTGAGCTATATAAGGATATGGACAGGCAGACTGGAAGGGCTAGATCGACTCGACAAGTAATATAAATGAGATTAGCCACGCCCCACTTTCTGCCTGTATATGATCCATTAACCCTTAGATTCCTCTTGCGAATGCTTCAGGTTGTACAATAAAATCGAATCCAATGTCTCTTGCAATAGAATTGCTGGTTCAAATCCCATTTATTTAGTGTCAAATGCTGTTATTTCTCTACTAAAGTTTGCGCCTCCCCTCCCTCTTGACCCCCTGGTTTATGCCTTTGTTCAAGCCATGTCTGCTCGCTAAGTGTTGCACAGTTTTTGTTTCCTCCAATGCTCCTTGCGAATGCTCGTTGCATATCCTTTCAATTCGGTTTCATAGAATTTCGCATGTCTTTCGCTTGTTCAGGTATTGCCATTCAAAGCGTGATTTGCACATTAAACACGTTGACACGCCCCCCACCGCCCGCTAACGGATTGTAGTTGTATCTTGTTGTTGGATGGCTTCGTAAACGCGTTAAATATGCAACAGCATGACATTTACAATCGACACGGCGAAGGGGTGGTGCTGTGGGAGGGGGGCGGGGGTTTGGTACTAACTGCTGCAGTTGCAAGTGTATATATGTATGTAAATATTTACTTACTGTATGTATGTAAGTATGGAGGTTCTAACGCTTAGCCCCTTTTCGATATTGATTTTCGTTTTGAAAACTTTCGTTGGAAGGAGGTGCTTACGTATCTGCAAATGTATCTGTATCTACTATATGCATATATCTGTCGCTGTGTCTGTATCTGTATCTGTAGTTGCGTATCTGCAGTTGAGCTTGCAGCTTGTTCCGACTTTTGCAACATTTGCGCTAACAACAACAGCCACATGTGTGCAAGCCGGAAGAGGAAGGCGGAGGGAAAGAGGAAGCTGAATAATGGCTAAGGCTGGGTTGGTCCATGCTGCAGCTGCCAAAATTGTTACGCAAATGTTTTGATTCCAACTCAATTCAATTGGCTCTGACAAGGCTTTGCCAACTCGAACAACATTTGCAGTCGGTTTGAGAGTAAAGAAAATTGCGTAATACGCACGTGATACACAGAGAGAAAATATTTAGTTTGTACGTTCTATTTTTGTTCCATTTGCTTTTCTAATTATAATTTTAGAGAAAGTAAAGTAAAGTAAAGCAAAGTATTTCTATCATTTATTTACTTTATTTTATATTTATTTGAAAAGTTGTTATTTAAACGAGCTTGCTTTAAGATCACAGTGTAGAGCTCTCTACTTTAAAATTGGTTGCTACTTATTTCATAGTTTTTCATCACAAACTATTTGAGGCAGTTAGAGAGCTCTTTACTTGGAACTTGGAAAAAAACTCGAAATAAAACGTTTTATTCGCTTCAAATTTCATTAAAAGTAAATGTTGATGAAATACAGAATGGCAATAAAACTTAGGAAGTTTATTCTCTGAGTGTATTTAAATGCAATATAAAAAGAGAGAGAAAGATAGAGAAAAATTTAGTGAAAAAAAGAGAGAGAAAGATAGAGGAAAATTTAGAAAGATAGATAGAGGAAAATTTAGAAAGAAAGATAGAGAAAAATTTATGAAAAAAAGAGAGATAAAGGTAGGCAGACCCCCTTTTGTCACTTGACAATTAATAGGTAGAACTAAGATTGCAAGACGGGTGTGTCTGACTAATTAATACACGTCTACATTTACAGTTATATTCATTCAAAAACTAATATATCCGGATCTGACGGCTCACCTCAGTAGAGATAGGCATACTTTAAAGAAAACCAATATACCCTCTTGGCCAACTCATTTCGCACTGTCATTGTCAAAAGGCAAATGGAAATTGGAAGGAAAAAATGCAGCAATATAGCCCAAAAATTCCCATTAAATATTAAAAACTGAATAATTAATACACTGCCAAGTGTGTATGGGTCTATGTGTGTGTGTGTGTGTGTGTGTGTGTTTACTAATGCGACAGCTACAAATGGAAACGCGTCAAAAAAACTGTGTGATTGAGCCGGCCCTGACAGGGTGAGCAGAGAAACAGACGAGCAACCTGACTGCGACCAAATGGATAGCTAGATATAGAAGCGACAGACAGACAGACAGATTTCACTTGAATGAAGGAAGGAGGGAAACTGCAGTTCGTGTTATTGAGTCTGACAGACAGTTGGGCAAAAAGGCAATGGCAAAAGTTCGACAGAAGAAAGAGAAAGGGGGAGAGAGAGAGAGAGAATCAGATAAGTAGAGAGAGCGAGAGGGAGAGAAAGAGCAAAGTCCATTTGATAGCAGATTATTTGCCATAGTTGAATGCACTCTATGTACTACAGTGTGCACTCGCGAAATTGAACATTGAACATTCAAGCGAGTATATAGAGAAGAAATAGATGACTAATTCTAAAAATTAAGTTTCAAATGGAAGTTTAGCTTTATTTAACACGATTTGATATGACTTATTTATAATTTCATATTGACAAATTTTTTTTTGTATGTTCAAGAATAATTTAGATTTTAAGACAAGCTGAATTAGAGCCTCAGCTAAAGTCAGATTAAGTACAGTTCTCTAAAGATACGACTGTCTTCTCGTTTATATATCATCTCATAAACATATTAAAACTACATTTTTCTCAACTTCAATCTACTTTAATTTTCTGTGCAACTAACATTTCTACATCCAGTCTTTGTATTGCCTGTTTACTGTACCTCCACTTAGTCCTGTATTTATGCTCTCAAAATGTCTGATAACGCTAACAATTGACAATTGTGCCACAGTGCTGGAAAGTTCATTAAAGTTTCTAGCTCACACCTGCACACACACACACACACCCACACAGGTGACTATATGGCTGCTATATATACTTGGATTGTTGCTGTGGTTCTTGAGGTAACTTGGTTTGGCTCCTTTACCGCTCTTCGCTCTTCCGCTCTTCGCTCTGACATGAATTCCACGAATTGAGCATTTCGTGTGAAAAACGTGTTCAACAATAAAATCAAATAACAAATATTCTTAGCTGAATTAGCTTTTGTTTTGCACTGGGCTAAAGTCAGAAGCATTTCCGTTCGATTAAGCCGAAGCAAATGGAAAGAAATTGCTGCATACTTCGAGGCGCAATCAACTGCGAATGTGTGGGTGTATGCGCTTTTAAATGCAGACGTGTGTGTGCATGTGTGTGTGTCTGTGTATGTGTGTGTTTATTTGCGTTGTAAAATGTTTAATTTGATGACACTTGACATTAACAATTTACCACTGCACCTGCTGCCTGCCATTCACACTCACACTCACACATGCATTCACACTCCCACATACTCACACATTCACACACCCACATAGACATTCTCCTTTACGTTACTCTCTAGCTGCTGGCATGAGGTGTTAAATATTTTAGTTTTCGTATGAGCGAGCGTTTCTCATTTTTTAGCGGTTTTTATAGCTTTTTTTTAGGGCTAATTTGTTATGCAGCTGATCTCTGGCAGCATTTTTGCTATTTTTTCGTGCTTAAAGCGAAATACATGAATTCCTTTTTGGTTATGCGTCAATCCAAAAGTTATGAGAGTTTCATGAGAACCTCATTTTATCGGGCATTATTTTCATCGCTTGCCACGTAATACCCTTTATATAGAAGAGAAAATTGAATTTCATAATAGATATATAGACGGCGCTTGGCATGAAAATCTGAAAAGACTACATATAAATTATATATGAAAACTAAAATAATATTTAGAATATATAGGAAATATTAGCAGATTTTGTTTATACTTTTTTAAAACTATAAAGCTAGTATTTCTATGATCCTATCTCTATTGTTATGCTAAATAAAAAATTAAATCTCTCCAAATCAATTTAATTTTGACTGAAAATTATCAGTTTTCCTTACTTAACTTAAATAGATATAAATTGTGTATCTCTTTAAATTTCATGAAATTCAAGAAATATTCATGCCTTGTTGCATATTTGTCCCCAACATTTTTCAGCTGTCAGCATTTGCAATGCAATATACGATTGCCATCGCGGTTACTTCTGCCTTACCCCTCCCTCCCTCGGTTCACCTGACTGGTCGCACGTGTACAAAATAGCAATGCTCTGACCATTTGCGCCCTGCATTTCATTCTGTCCAGCCACGCTGCGTGCAGTGACCAAAAGTAAAGCGAAAAAAACCTTTCAAAATGCCAAGGATTTTCCCTTTTGGGTTTCGAGCCTGCGCCAGTTGACAGGCAACAAAAATGCATATAATTTCAGTGTTTATTTATTTATTTTTTATTATGTTGATAAACATTTCGGAGTTGAATGCAATGCTCATGCCGTGTGCATGTTTTGCAAGACTTTTGGAGTCTTTGCCTGGCAACGCCCTCGTTTGCCTCTGCGCCTGCCCCTGCCCCTGCCCCTGCCCCTGCCTCTGCCTTCTCGTTAAAGTTTGTTTATGTTGTTCGTAGAGTGCTCAATGGACACCCACGCATCAAAGCCTGACTCCATAGTAACTTCTAGTCATTGTTGTTATTGTCATGACCACTTGATGTTCCAGTTGTTGT